CTTTGGTTGTATTCGTTAGCTGTTTGTTGGGGTACGCTGGGGGTACGCTGGGGTCGATTTCAATTTTTGGACATGTTCAAAATGTTGAACGTATGACAACGTTCTGCTACATACGCTATGTATACGGTGAGCATTCGTTGTTTAAACGTTTCGCACGTTGGGTGCACGTCCAAACACGTTCAATCCCATCTGAAACGTTGCCATAGCAAATGCAAAACGTATTCATAGCGTTTAACTAATGAGTATCGAATGGCCAGCGAACACTCAGCGTATACCGACGTACATCAACGTTTGCAAGGCGTCAATACGTTAGGCATACGTGTGACATTCGCTGGGCATTCGTTACGCTGAACATTCGTTGGGCGAACGCTGCGAACGCGCTGTCATTCGTTAAATGGACGCTAGTTGTACGATGAGCATTCGTTTCTCATTCGTGGGGCGTTCGTCTTTCACGCAAAAATGTTATTTTTTTGCCAAAAAAAGTGAGCGTATTTGAGCGTATCGGGACTTAGAAAAAAAAATGAGAACGCTCGGCATACGTTAGGTCTATTCGCTACTATGTGACAGGGCCATTTATAGGAGAGCCACTTTATAGTGGCAATCGACAGGTAATGTACATATTTTTTCCATGTTTTCTCTTATATTACTTTAACCTGGATATAGAATAAATTTTTAAAAATCAGGAGCCCTAAATTTGACAAAATTAAAAGTAAATGGGGGATAACAGAATATTACATTTTGAGTCTGACGGTGTCATTTCCCATCATCTACCAGTGCCATAAACATAAAAACTTCCTACCTCAGCCCCAACCAGGGTGTGGTTGAGGTAGTATAAATCCCTTTCTGTAAAATTTAGACCTATTGTCTGTACCCCTCCCCTCCTGTCTGCCGAATTCTAGATCCAAGATGTCGTAATTTGGCGAATCATCTTCTATCCATAATCTTATTGGCGGAATATCAACCATGAGTCGCCAAAAATTGTACACACTGAAAATTAAATGGGGATGGCGATAAAAGAAAATTACCTTCAAATTTCGAGTCTGACAGTGCAATTTCCGGCCATCTAGAAATGACATAGGCCCAGACATAAAAATGTCTATGTAAAAAAAAAAATGCCACTAAATTTTAAAATTTCGATGCATATCAATGTTATATTGGACATTAGCGCTACTCACTTTATCTATTCTGAAAATGTTGTTCCCCATTCCCACCCAACCCCCGCCATTATTGCTTCATGTAATTTGCTATTGTTACATTCCTGATGTAAGTATCTCTAGGCCTACCTGTTGCACTTGATATCGTTAGAAGCAGGATGTTCTTCCCTAACGACGCGTTTCCTACCAGATATCCGTTACAACATGGAGCTACGTGGTTAAACTAACACCGGGTCTGAGTTTATAGCTTCATGGTTCATTCATTTATTCGGCCAAAAGATTACAGCAAAACAAAAACAAAACCAAAACACATGCAAAGATAAAAATGACAGAAAAAGTATTGGGAAACATTAACAAACATTGGCCAGGATAGCCCATATATAATATTACTTGTTGGTTTCCTGAACAGTTTTAGACAAATGATTAAATTAAATTAAATAGGCCTACTGAAAGATAGTGATATAATGAATAATGTCTATAGTTTCTATAATTCGAGAGAACAAATTTGTCTTCAAAACAGTGCCGATGTATCATAGACATAACAATGGCCTACATTAATATTATATAGGCCTATTTCAAGTACAAACATTTATAATTATGTTACAATCATTGTGTATATAAGTATCAATGTTTATAATTAAGCAATTTTGTAGTCTGAACAGCACATGCCAATTTCCAATATTAATCGAGATAAGCCTATGTTAGGTGCATTGCTGTGTACATACATTGAACTGGTACAGCAGAGGTCCCAAGTCTCCCGGAACTCGGGAGAGTCTCCCTGAAACCATAGAGAATCTGTTCTATTTTCTCTATGCTGAAACCTAGATAAGACGGTCTCCCGCACTCCCGCAAGCAAGCAAGATCCTCTCGAAAATTAACCCATCTCTGCAAATTCATAATACTGTATTGCATGTTTTCACTGCTTTATTATCAATTTTCTCAGGGAAGTCAGTGCCGATGGGTATCATTATGCGCAGAAAAATAAAATCAAATGTCATAAAGAAGCTCACTAACCAGATAAGTGGCAGATTCAGGGGAGGGGGAAGCCGGCCCGAGTCCCCTAAATATTTGAAAATTATGAAAAAACTCGGTAGAATTTAAAATTATATTCGAATTTAAGTGAGAGGGCCATTTCCGGGCATCTAGAGGTGCCATAATCATAAATTGTCTTATCTCAGCTCCAACCACGGTAGCAGTGGCGAATTTTAAGGGGGAGGGGGAAAACTTTACTGGTTTTTATAAAAAAAAAAACAGTGGTTATTTCTAGTGCACATCCCTTTTCGTGCTTTTGTTTGTATGTAGGCCCTAATTGTATTTTATCATTTTATTAATATTATTACATGGCACTACTATATTCAAGTATATGTTGTAATTAAGTTAGCTATGTGTAACTTTAACTTATAAGATCGTTTAACTAACTTTTGTATTAGACTTGTAATTTGTTATATGGAAGCGCCGCTGTTGTATGTTTGTGCCACTGTTTAAAAAGTGAGAGCCAAATAAAAGCTGAAAACTGAACAAAATGTGTGTATGTTTGTTTATGTGGATTGACATTGATATGAGCATGCGCAGTTCAGACTACGAAATGCTTATTGTAAGACGACTTGAATTTAAATGTTATTTACAAGAGCTGTGTGAAATAATGCCCATGTATATTTTTGTCTTCCGTGTGTGTATTGTGTAATAATGTGCGGCCAGTGTTCATACTGAAATGTAGCGAGCACATCGGGTTGAGTAAAGCTTGGCTTCCATAATATTGCTGCTATGTTGTTAGCGTTTCAACTGCAAGCGCCACACTGCGTAGCTGCCTCCGACGCAAATCGGGTAGGCTCCTGATGAGACTGACCAACCAGCGTCACAGAAACACTCGGCGAGAGTGTGCAGCTAATTTATGGGTTGGGGCTTAACTGTTACTAGGCAATGGATCTTTCTGACGTACTAAACAAATTTAACAACTGACCAATCAGAACAGATCCAGGAATTTCCAAATTCAATTACAAACACACGTGTGTGCGTATGTTTTTGCAATGCCATTCTGTGGTACCTTTGCAACAATATGCAAGGGGGGGGGGGCAGAGCACAATGGAAAGGCTGGTCCCTGGGAAACATAACATATAGGCGTTCCTACATAAGTTATTATGTTTACCCTTACCCTTCCAGCATATCTAGAAGGCCGGATCTTCGATCAATAATGATAATAATAGGCATACACCTTATAATCATGATGATAATAATATTGATAATGATGATTTAAAATGTATATGAAATAAGAATAGATTATTGTTATTACCCTTAATATTCCCATCATCGCATTTTTAGTATTATCATAAAATATCAGATAGCTGGTCTCTAATATTTATAAATTGTGTTGGCTCATATCTATATTGTGAATGAAACGTGCTTTTTTCAAATACAATCTTTAAAAAAACAATTAAAAAAAAACAATTATATTGCTGGTGTAAGGCACAAATTCAGCGTGAAGTGAATTGTTCCAATAATATCAATAATAATAACCGGAACCTTATGAATGAAACCAAAAACAAAATGCCAAAATTTGGTAACGGTAATTTATTTCAACAAAAGATTCACAATCGATAACATAACAAAATTAAAATTATTATACGATGCCTCAATCATTAATGCAAAGGACCATCGTTTAACATTTTTCAAGGTGGTTTAGTGATTTACGCTTATCATTAATTATCATGTCATTACAAATTGATAATACATAAATGTTTCTAAAAAAATTAATTAAGAAATTAAAGAGTACCCTCTTATAATACCACATATAATAGTAATTCAAACGGGTAGATATTTTATATTATCAAAAAAATTAGCAAATCAAAAGAAATGAATGAATGAATTATTTTTCGAAGGCTTTATTATCCATAGGTGGTCCGACACCAAATGACGCCATGGACTTTTGAGTGTGCTCGTGGACGGGGAAGAACCAGGAGCGAAGAACACCAACGTAACGACTGCGCATCGAAAAATTCTCACCGTTCTCATCTTGTCCCTCAAGTTTTTTCGCTGCTCGTCGAATAGTGACGATGCCAACGAAGATGACAACTAGGAGAACAAGCGCGATAATACCCATGGTTGCACCAACAATTGCGCTGCTTGAAACACCCGAGTCTCTTGGTTCCAGGTGTTCATCGTCGAGATCGAGTACTATGGTGTTTGGTTCCTTCGTCGGCGCTCTGGTTGGAGCCGCTATAACATTTATCACGGCAAATTCCGACGTCAAGATTCCTCCGAAGTATTTGACTTTGCATTCGACACTTTTCCCGTTATCTTCCACGGAAGCGTCAGCTATTTCCAATATGGCGTTGTTTCCAAACGAATCACGTATGATGATACGTTCGTCCCCATGCCTAACCTCATTACCATCGATATACCAAGAGAACTCTGGAGTCGAAATATATTGGGCACTGCAGATGAATGTAGCAGTTGTTTGTGGGATGATAGCCTCCAACCCTGTAATCTTCACCGCTGGTTCACCATTGTTGAGCTTAAAGGGTCCAACGGAGCAAGTCCGTGGGGTACTCCATAGCATATGTTCTCCCTGGCACGTGAAGATAGCTTGGTCATCGTTCTCTGTCACGGTCCAAGTATGGGTGTTGCTTACCTCGCTAGGTTCAGTCAAATCAAAATCTCGAAGCCATTTCAGGACAGTTGCAGGAGAACCTCCGTTCGATTGACACGAGAAAGTGACCTCTTCTCCGACACTTACGTGGAGGCCAGTGGTAGTGCTGCACTCTGGATAATCTTTCTCTGGTGCGGCCAAGACTTGCAAGGTTGCCTTCTCGGACTCAAGACCATTCTCACCACCCAGTACAATGCATTGGAAGACACCAGCGTCTTGAGGTTGGACATTGCTGATATGAAGGCTGTAACCATAGTAACCGGTTGTTTCTGAAGGAATTACAGTATACCTGGGCAAAACAAAACAAAAATTAATTACACAAACTGGGTAAATAAAGTAATAAAACAGATTTGATGGAGACCTTTGGCTCTGTTTTCTAACACCCATATGTATTTTCTCACCAAACGTGTAAAGAAAAAGCCCTCACGTAACATACTGCGCCATGGCATTGCTTACGTCGTCGTCAATTTTATATCGTTAGTGTTTTTTTGTTGTTGTAATATATTTTCTCACCAAATGTGTAAAGAAAAAAACCACACCCAACAAGTCATTGCTTACGACATCGGCACTTTTACAGTATGTGAAATACATGTCGGTAGTGACTTTTGTTGTTTTAGTAAATGCCTTGCTCTATCGTAGCAGCATAATGAAATGCTACATAGAGCATTGCTCTTTTGTAGTATAAACAACATCAAATATTATTAAAGAAATTTTAATCAATCCATCAATATTATATAGGGGGCCTTGATTATTAAAAAAAAAACAAAAAAACAAAAAAACAAAAAAAAAACGACATGCGCAGACGATAGATCAATATGGCAATATCTACATATTCATTATTGTTCATATTTATAGGTAATTGCTATTAGTATTACTTCTATCTTGTTATCAAAATATACAAGTCATACCGGTACAGTGTAAATCAATAAATCAATTTAGTAAGAACATTTTTGGTCTTTTAATAGAGTTTTGGCGCTATTTTAAAATGACATGATTCTCCGCCAGGGCAAGCAAACGACTGTTCTTTTAGTCTTTAAATTGGTGTTCCTATTTTAGAGTTTTCACTGTATAAAAAAGTAAGCCCTACTTACTGTATGTCAAAGGCCTATCGTAATAGGATGTAGAAATGTATAGGCCTATGTGTCGCTGCATACTTTAATTAATATGAAATATAATTGAATAAACCTAAAGGTATAACTACATTATGGAGCAACTTTTACCTTGCATATCTACCGGAGTCATCGTCATCAACAACGTGGGAAAGTGGGCTGTACTCTTGGGTAATGAGGACGGAGTCCTTCACCCACAAATGGCTGCCGTGTCCCGAATTTAGAACACAGTTCAAAGTCACCTCTCCTCCTACATAAGCGGTTGTATCTTTCGGCTCCGAGATGAATTGCTGAGCAAACGATACGGATAGACACAGAAGCAGCAACCCAAGATGTCGATATCTAAAAGGCATCTTTAACAGAGGCTCTCGTCGCAGTGTCTTTAGATAGTACTTTGCCCAACGAAAATGGAATCGGCGTAAACTGTTGTGGTGCGATTTGGGCGTTGGTAATTTGCATTTGTGACTAAGTATTGGGATATTGTGTTCCAAACAGCTCAATTATCGCCAATGAATAGGGTAAGCGATGCGTATGCCTCATTATTTGCAAAAGAAAGACATCGGCAGTTCCCATTGGACGGCACGAGTCAAGCATGAAGAACTCACCAGATCATCTCGACCCTTGCCGACTACCTTGTACCATGAGGTATCAAGAGCAAGAACACACATATTTATAAGGTGAAAACCGGAAATACAACCTTCAAACAAAAATCAACAATTTAATAGAAAATCGAAGTGCGGTTTAAAAATGAAAAGAACAAAGAGGAGAATTTTGTATATAGTACAGTACCGGTGATCACAACAGGAATTGTTTGCAGCAGCCGCAAGGCAATTAATATACAAAAGGATCAATAACTCTATAGAAATACTGCAGGCCACACTTCTCTAATAGTTTATATCATTGTTGAACTAGAATTAAAAAACCTCAACCAAGCCACATTATTAAATATATAATATATAAAACATCTGGAAAATACATTTATTGGCAAATTCAATCCATTCTGTGGTCAGAGTATTGTTTTCAAAAGGTTGAATTAACACTCAGTGTTATTTTGAAAAATGCACCAAAACGATAAAAACAAACAGGCCTACCTTAATAATATTAGATGTTTGTCTAAGGACTCAGCAGTTGATCAGACTTTGTTTACTTTTAAAACATTGGTGGGGGAGGGGGACCGACTGGGACCCCCATTGAATCCGCCTATGGTTATACCATAGAGAAAATATAACTATTTTCTCTATGGTTATACTGCACACGTTTCAGCCTGAATTTTAAAAAGTATCATGACCTATTATTGTCCCAGGCGACTATGGCATTCATTTATGAAATACCTGTACAAAACATTAAACAAAGCATTATATGAAAAACAAAGGATTATGATAATTGAATAAAATTGTAGCAAAGAATAACCGGTTAGGCCATAATCTTTGAGCCAGAAGAGAGGGTTTGAGACTGGTCGCGACTAAGCACCCAGAGCCAGGGCACATGTAGCGACCCAGAAGCTCCAGCTCAACAAAACAATAATGAAACGAGGTTTATATCCAAATACAATTAGGAACTTTGTGATAGAGTGTTTAATCATAGACAATGACGGTAAACACCACGTGAATGTTATTGAATGATGTTGCATGCTGGTGATGGCTTTAGTTTTATGACAGTCCAGGGCACTCCGGGAAAACAGACTTATAGTCATAGACGTCAATGGTCCAGATATAGCTACGCTTTTCTCACAAAAAAAAAAAAATAAATAAAATAAAAAAGTAAAAACAGCATCAAAAATAAAATGCATAAATCATGAATATTTAGGCATATAAATAGTCAGGGCTCTGTATATCAAACAAGTCAAGATTGCTTTGCCACACGCGTCAAGCTGAAATCGGTCACACCATATTGTTGGTGATGATGTTGTTCTGCTGAGAAGTAAATTAAACATCTCCACCTCGGCTGTTCTGCTGCTCTGCTTATGTTTCTGATTAGTTCTTTCTAGTCAGGTCTGATTTTTGCTGTTTTCTTTAATGAGTTTAATTACCCTTGTAAAATTTTTTGGAGGCTTCATTGCGGTGCTTATTCGAGAGCGGTGCTTTTTCAACAAATATTGGCGTGGTGCTTTTCCTGTCCGTTCCCATGTTACTTATGTCACGTATTCCCATATTTCCGTACCTAACATAGGCCCTACATCATCGCAAATAAACGTTTAGAATGCAATTTTGTCATTTACCATTAGAACACTGTATAAGCCTACATTGTTTTTAAAACCCTGTTTCGCAAAGTGTTTCATAACACACAGTACAATATGTACACTAATAAAATAATCTAGGCAATTACTGTCTCTTATACACATCTAGATGTGTATAAGAGACAGGAATTACAGTATACCTGGGCAAAACAAAACAAAAATTAATTACACAAACTGGGTAAATAAAGTAATAAAACAGATTTGATGGAGACCTTTGGCTCTGTTTTCTAACACCCATATGTATTTTCTCACCAAACGTGTAAAGAAAAAGCCCTCACGTAACATACTGCGCCATGGCATTGCTTACGTCGTCGTCAATTTTATATCGTTAGTGTTTTTTTGTTGTTGTAATATATTTTCTCACCAAATGTGTAAAGAAAAAAACCACACCCAACAAGTCATTGCTTACGACATCGGCACTTTTACAGTATGTGAAATACATGTCGGTAGTGACTTTTGTTGTTTTAGTAAATGCCTTGCTCTATCGTAGCAGCTTTGCTCTCTTCGCTCTCTACTTGTTACCCTACTCTCGCCACTCCCGGGGCCGTGTCGCAAGTTTTTCAATGTTATGTAAGGAGGTCAAAAGTGGCTACTAGCAAGTTTATTCGCATTGGATTATTGGTTTGTACATTTTTATTGCTTAGCACTAACAGGAAACACTTGGACACAACCTCATTGGTGACTGACTTTCCTTAATACAGGTATATCACTTCATGGTCCTTCAATTCAGACTGGTTTGCACTTTACTTCCTTGTGAAAACACTTCTTTGTATACTGGTACAGTATTTATTTTGGGACAAAAAAATAGACAACAATAAGAATGCTGAAGAGGATTTTTTTTAAACAGCTAGGTTTAAAGGGATTTTTGTTACCGATAGACAATTTTAACATTCCAATAATTTAATAAGCTTATGCGCGCCGCTCTAAAACCTCCAAGAACTTTAAGATTATTGGTTTGTACATTTTTATTGCTTAGCACTAACAGGAAACACTTGGACACAACTTCATAAGTGACTGACTTTCCTTAATATATCACTTCATGGGCCTTCAATGACTGGTTTGCACTTTACTTCCTTGTGAAAACACTTCTTTGTATACTGGTATTTATTTTGGGACAAAAAATAGACAATAATAAGAATGCTGAATAGGATTTTTTTTTACACAGATATAAGGGATTTTTGTTACCGATAGACAATTTTAACATTCCAATAATTTGTATAAGCTTATGCGCGCCGCTCTAAAGCTTCCAGAACGTTAAGGGTAATACTGCCACCCCGAAAAACTAAGAAAAACCTAAAAAAATCAGTATCTCGAATAGCTGATTTAGAAGAATCATATAAGTTATTAACTTTAAAATAGGAACAGATCGATTTGCTACCAAACATTATAATACAAAACTCCTAAATTCATCAGCCAATTTGAAGGTCTATTCAAAAGCATACACCAAGGCATTATTTTGCCTACATGTCCTTTAAAGCCCCATTCCCGGAAAAATTTCGGTTGTTAAGAAAAATCTAATTTTTGTATAATGTTATAAAGATTTATAAATATTATACGGAATTGCTAGTTTAATTTAGACATTCCTAAGAATGAAAAAAAATGTGAAATAAGACTGAAATTTGATTTTTTGTGTTCCACACAAAAATAAATGCTTGATTTTGCGATAGGTCGTAAGAAGAAATATCGTAGGCGCCGAAAACATTAGCCTACCCAACGCTGCTAGGCTAGACCTAGCCTTACCTCGATTTAGGTTCTGTTATCACACAAAGAAACGGCCGACATGATATTTTCCGTTGCTGTAATGACACTTGCGAAATATAATATTTCATAGGAATTATTTCAAATTTGTTAAAAAAACAGCACGGCACTTTTCTCTAAACAGTGTCTATGGTCAAAGCATTTTGAAGCAAAAATCTCAACCACCAGGACCCCTCCCCGCTCGGTTCTTGCATTTCGCATGGCCCTATCCAGATTTTTTTCTCAGAAATTTCCCCTGTATGGAATTATATTTTAAATTTTTTTAGCTCATGACAGAGACAGTGTACAGCATCTTTAACGAGAGTCGCGGCACTTTGGGTCATTTATGTTAATGTAAAACAATGTTGTTCAATTTTTGTTTTAAAACACTGTGTCATGGCGACCTAATTGACATTAGGCATATGTGTATTGAGCTAAACCAAATATGCTTTCTTTTATATTTATATGCAAATTATTAACTGTTCATTGAAAATAGGCGATTATTTTTCGATGCATATTTTTTTAAAGTTATTTGATCATATCATCAATTTAAATGATGTACCGGTTGGCCTATTCAGTGTTCTCATTGTTCATTTTTCTGGTCGTTTTTCCAGCAACAACTGTATATCTTTTGAAGCATTAATCACATCATGAAAATATGAATCAAGTTATTGTTCTAAATTTCAACTTAGTCATCGTATGAGACGATAATGAACTATAAATAACCGGATCTGTTTAAACGAAGAGAATCGAGATTACCATGGTACTGTACTGTATTGGTAGTTAAGTGCTTATCTTTCAAAGTTATAATCCTGATTCTTTGATCGAGTTTTCCTGTTGAAAGGGATGTAGATTAGATTGTCTGCCGGTGTATTTAAATATTTCGGTGTGAGCATAAAATCGCTCTTCCTTCCTCATTCATTCGGATCACTTTAAAGAGGCACTCTCAGTAGGCCTATATGACGTGCAGTAGTAGACAACCAATAAAATGCGTCTGGGACCCATAAAGATTATACAATGATGGTTTCATGTACAGTATGTGTCAGAATAAAGGAATGTGAACATTACCTTGCTGGCACGTTAAATAGACTTAAAGAAATCGAATATGGGACGCCAATTAAATTTGGTATGGCGCGCACTAAAAAGTGATTAACACAAATTAGGGCATGTACTCCAGGCTAGTCACCAAATAATGGTAATACATTCCGAAAACGTTGAGGTAATGCCTAACAAACACAACAAAAGGGGCCACCATCTTTTATCAGTAAAACCCAATTATAAAATGCATACAGCAATAATTCAAAATCTCTTCACTTTCTGGTTTTTTTTTCTTGAGGAAAATATGGTGGAAAGAAAGTAGTGATGAAATATTAGCAGCCATCGATGTCTGTATAAAATATGTCAAAACATTGTGGAGTTTTGATAACAACCGACAACTCATTTGTAAGGTGTGTATTTAGTAAACAGATATTTATATAACATACAATGTGCATAGAGTAAATATCTATATTATAAACCACTGGTAAGAGGCACCAAATGTACTTTCATTATTTAACAACATTATATACATATAATTCATTATTTAATATATAATAACATTTCATTATATATATTTAATTAGTTTTGCTTCCAACAATTATATATAAATATTTGGTGGAGCGACTTTCCTTATTTATAAATAATACAATGTTAAAACAATTATATATAAATAACGACTATGAGAAAAATCATTATTTAGACAATAACTTTCGGCACTTCAATTATTTATAAATAATGTTTTGCTACTTTAAAGTATTTATAAATAATGAAAATCGCTCCACCAATTATTTATATATAATTGTTGGAGGCAAATATAATTATATGTATATAATGAACAAATGTTGAATTATATATTTAAATAATAAATTATAAGTATATAATTTTGTTAAAATAATGAAGTACATTTTTCGGGCCTCATACACAGGTGGGCAAAATGCAACCTTCGGGTCACCTATGGCAGTTCTGTTGCAGCCCACCTACCATCGTAGGCTACACAACACCTTATTTTACCCCCCTACTGTACATCAATAATCAGTCATGGAAATAAGTTTTAACTTTGTGTTATTCTCGGAATTCTGTTTTATCATGTTGTTGTATTGTATTATATTGTATAAGTTCCTTAAGTCAATCAAGTCAAAATGCAATATTAAACTCAGCTTAAAAGCAGTTTGAAAGCAGTGCATCAAGTTCTTCTGTAAAGTTTGCATGCGGCCCTCAAAAATTAACTTTGGCTCTGTGACCCACGTTTATGCCCCCCCTGTTATAAACCAACCTAAAAACATTCAAATTGACTTTATTACACACATTATAAGAAGTCAGATAAGACCAACTTCAAATGATCTGTTCACAATAAAAATGTTTTAACAAACCTGTGATTTGCTCACTTACGTTATGACATCATCACGCCCATATATGGGAAATCACAAATATTTAATTATACCATAAAAGTTGGTTGGACTGGTACTGGTACTGGCATCTATAATGCGCTTCTTCCTTGCGGTTATAGAGCGCAGTTCCTTTCCCTGGTCATTGGGTCCACATGCTAAGTGTTGCTGCTGGTAATCAGCGCAGGAGCAGGCAACCCATTTATACTCCTGGGTGGAGATGCAGATAAAGTGTCTTGCTCAAGAACACAAGCGAAATGCACAGCGAGGGATTGAAAACCCGACCTCGAGGTTGGGAAACCAAACCATTCCTGGTGCGCCAAACCGCTTCTACAGTGCTTTATAGTTCTACTCTTTACCATCAATTGCAATACCTCATTAAATAAATCCTTTGCACATACAGTATTAGAAAAAACACCAAACTTAACACATTCATGTTTTAGAGGTAAATTTAATACAAGTTTTCTTGTAGTTTGAACTGCACAGAAATATAGTGAATATGCCTAATTATATTCATTGAGCTTTGACATAGTCATGCACAGTGAGGGCTTACATAGGCTACACTGATGCCCTCAATATTTGTATGTTTTTTTGTAATAATTTTATTGAGACTGTTGCATTGTAAGACTTTCCTTCATAAAATAATTGTATTTCAAAACACCAAGAATGTGTATATATGTCACTAGATTCTGTGTTTTTAATCTTCTATAATCAAATATATTATATATTTCTATGTTTAAATTAACGGATTTTAAGCTATTTCATAGGAAGCACCTATAGTGGAACTTTATGCAAATCTCCGCCCCTTGGATACTGTTGCTAAGGTCCCACAAAAACAATAGCGTAAATGTACATAAAAATGTGTGTTTGTCGCACAACACGAGTGTTTTTGGACATGCATATTCCTGGTGCTGTTCTGATTGATACTCCAGAAAGATCCATTCATTACCATGCCTCTTAGAAGGTTCGATTTTGCTGTGATTGCGAGAAAATTACCAAAAAGACACACAGCAAAACTGCTAAATCCTGGTTTATGAAGGCTAGCAGCATAACCACAAATGCCCTGGTATCCGAAGGCTAACTGCATTATGACAACAAATCTGTATGCAAAAAGCAACTGCTTTACTTCCGCAAAACTAGTGTTATGGAAACATACATCTGCGTATCAATGCAAATAGCACCCTCTATATATTGGTATAAATATTAGCACCACCTAAGAATCCACTTTAGCTGTATCTTGTCGATTCATTAGTGGAACCGTAAGTTTTGGAATGTTATTGTTTCCTTTAATAATGTCTAATTTTTCCTCCATAGATTTGAGATCATTTGAGAATATTCGTAGAGTATGACAAGCATCCTGGGCAAAAATAAAGAGAATTCAATTACATATTGAGTATGGAAAGCATTTTAAGCAAAAATGGAGAGAAAATCAGAGCACTATTCAATTTATTCATTTCCTGTTTGACTAAGTTTTCTTGATGAGTAAGATCTATACAGTACTTTAATTTTTTCAAAAAGAATTTATATTCAATTTAATATTCATTATATTACTATCATTGTTACAATTACATTTCGAAAACACTATCCTACTCATCATTGTATTATAATTAATATAAAGTATAAGAACAATAACAATCTTTACAGTAGTAGAGAAAAATCATGGAATATACTCTCATTATTTTATTATATAACACAGCCAAAAGGGTATTTTTAAAATATGATTTTCATCAGATGACGAGAGAGGTAGATCAAAATTCTAAAAATTACACCTTTGGCTTAGATATAAAACAACTTTTAATAAATAATAAAGTACAGTAATATTGATTACGTCCAGCATGCATTGATCAATGTTTGTAAAGAAGATCATGCAAAAAATAAATAATTTAGTGTAGTGGTACATATAGAGAAGAGGTAATTAATTTTGGGGTGAAAAGTCAAAGGACAAGGTCAAAGTCACAGTTGATTCAAAAATTTTCTTGGTGCATTCCTTTGGTATGTGAAAGCTTAGCTACTTCATTATTAAAATGATAATTAAATAAATATTAATAATAATGGTGACTGAATTAAAAGAAATTAAGAGAAACATGACTTTAAATTTACTTACTTGGATAACACTTTGGGTACGAGAAAGCTGCTGACTGGAGCTGGAAAGATCCTTACGAGCATTCTGAAAGGCTTGTGAGATTACCTCATTCATATCTCGATGCAGCGCTATGTTTCTCTCGCGGAGCTTCCTATGTAATAATGTATCATACTTTGGTAGGTCTCTTTCTAAATTTTTAACTTGTTCTTGCAAGTTTGCTAACTTTTCGTTTGTTTCTGCTGCGTTCAATCCTGGACCAGTTTCAACTATTAAAAAAAAAAATCTCAATCAAAACTACCAAGGCACTGCATTTGATATCAATATTATTCACCATTAATTGGCAATTCTGACCTTTCTACTCAACAAACTAAAATATAATAACGCTATGCAAGTCACCTGCGTCCTTAGCCAAGGCACTTTATCTACATTTGTCTCTCTCCACCCTGGAGTAGTGGGTACCCGTGAGGATCTAATGCGAAGTGCTGATTCTAGCTACTCATGGAATTGTGCTCCCCAGAGAGCTAAGGATGAGTTCCATGGGTGTTTGATCCAGTGACCGGGGGTAATAATGTCAAGCACATACAGATTGTTGATTGCAATATGCACTACATAAATGTTGCATTATTATTATTATTAAATTGTTAATATTGTTTATACTTTTTAAGCGCTGAGACTCCAGTAAAGAGCGCTATATAAATGCCAAAATAATATTATTATTATTATAGACTTTATTATATTATTATCATGACCAGTAGCAGTCATAGTGGGGATCACAGTGAGGGGCAAAGAAGACGTTAATAATTTTGAAAATATGAATGAGTCATAAAATATTATGAGAACCTTTCAAATGTGGGAAGCTTCCAAGCTGAAGCTTTGACTCTTCATGCTCCCAGCTCAAGTTTGTAAGTTCATCTTCTTCATCATCTGTTTCAGGTGCTTCTCCAGGGACACGACTGTCATCTTCCACTGGAGCAGGCATTGCATCATCCGAGTCCGAGTCTGACTCCAAAGCTTCCCCCTGTACCACTGTTCTAATATTTGTAGTCATTTTAATCTGGCTCTGAAAAATAAAAACATGCAAAGTACCGACACAAATTTTTAAGGAACAGACCCATTTACTTCCAAACACACACAAACAGATTGTAAAATGTAAATGGTAATAATGTAGGTCTGAGTGATTAACTTATTAATAAACAAAATATAAGATTATTGTTGTAGTCAATGCTATGGTTTAACAGATGGCGATGGCGAGAATATATCAATCAAGTATGTCGTAACAAAGAGTTGTTGTGCAACTTTTATGTATTTTAATTATTTTTCTATATTAACTAAAATATGAGTGTATTTAAGGATCCTTTATCATAGCTGTATTTATACCGTTGTGACGATAAAGTTCTATCGTATCGTATCGTAAGAGGTGATTGGACCAGAAATAATAATTTGTCTATTCAAAAGTAATGTTATTTAGATAACTGCCAACCTCTATACTATAGCCATGATAAGCCCAAAAAACTCTTCCCTTGAACTCTACTACTACACCAGGAATGTTCATTCTGGGACCCTTACCAAGGCTCTTAATTAACCCCTTCGTTTGGAGTCCAAACTGTCTGTTGGACCACCCTGTCTGCAATTTTCTGGAGCCACACTGCTGTCAGATGGTCGGACCCTGCAAACAAGTATGTACCGCTGTTGCAACCATATCCAAACATCTGATCCAGGGTAAATTTAAGTGTACTCTCCTCAAAATACCAATTCAGCCCCGAAATGTCAACTAGGCTCCAAAATCATATTTCATTTCAATTTATATATTCTTATTAAGGGTTAAAAAAATAACGAAATCATTGAAACAGGATTTTCAAAAATGAATCAAACTATAGAAGGGGTCTAGGCTAACCCTCTTAATAAAAAAAAAAAAATTGGCGCTTAAATGCACATTAGTGCTCCACTCTAACCCTACCTTAACCGCAACTTCAGTCTTGCTATCTAGGCCTAGGCCTATGTATTGTTAAAAATTAGGGTTAGGCCTAGAGTGAAGTACTAAATAAAGTGCATTAGCGCTCAAAGACAACATATTAGTTACTAACAATGATTAACTTTTTTTTCAAATAGCCAGAACCCACATACTAATGCAAATATTAATGTATTTCGAACGTAATAATAGAAAAACAATCTGAATGCAGCACCCTACCTAGGCCTAGGCCTAGATCCCACCAACCAATAATGGAAAAAAAATAGAGAAATCATTTCATCCCACGTTTTTTCAGGCTATGTATTAATATATGAATATATTAATTATAATAATGTTGTATTATACACAGTCTGAGAAAATATTATAGCAACAACTGCTTACAAGACTCTACTTTTAAAGAATAAACCACCTGACATACCAGCTTGGCCTAGCTAGGCTACCTACCAGTTCTTTATTGTTTTTCTACAGG